GATTTAGAAATTGTAAACTTTCTTTTAAAGACTTTTATTAAATAATTTAAAATGATTTGGATTATTTGTAATGGGACCTGAAGTAAGCAGATGGAAACAGGAATGGGTTCAGAGCAATCCACTCTCAGTAGTTCAGAACCAGAACCGGTTCAAGCTGCTGCAGGTTTGTAAAAAAGCAGCGGAACAGCCCTTTAAAGAGGCTGCGAATCAGAAGCCAACTTCTGCCTGTTTCCCAGTTCGCTGTTGGCTGCTGTTAGCCTGTTCCTCCGGTCGGTTCCGTTTCGGTTCGGTTCGGAGCCTGTTTCTGGTGTTAACCTGCTCTTCCAACTGGCCGGTATCTGTTCGGTTCTGGACGGAGGGAAAGGCCCGGGTTGTTGCTGCGGGTCAGGTTCTGAGATGTCAGCCCAGATTCGGTCCAGGAGGTTCGGTGGTTCTGTTCAGCCTGTTCGGCCCAGAGGTGTTCAGCCTGAACCACCTCTGCTGGTTCCGGTCTAATGAAGCAAACTCAGGTCGCGGCTCGGTTCGGTTCTTCTTAGTGATGTGGAACCATGAACATCAGAGCTAGTCCCGCCCCTTTCAGCTATGGACCAATCACAGGCCAGCTCCACAACAGGTGCTGCAGGTGAACAGACCGAACAGAACCAGTCCACCCAGCGGTCTAGCTGCAGGTCTAAACGTCTCTCTTTGGTTCAAAGATGAACCATCAGAACCTCCTACCGGATCCAGTCTGGTACTGGTTCTGTTGGGTCTTACTAAGGAAGACTGGCTGGTTGGAGGTTCATCTGGACCTGGACGTTACTGTCACGTTACCAAATATGGAATCAGGTCATGTGACCCGGTGGTTCCGCCCCAGCAGAACCTCTGGATGTCCAGCTGAGATGTTTGGACCTCCAGAGGGGAATTCCCGACCCGCCGGACCGGACCTCTACCTGCTGAACCCGGCTGGACCTGAAAGACAATCTGTGTTCTGATCCGATGTGTCACATACCAACACACACACACACACGCACACACAGACACACACACACAGACACACACACACACACACACCCGGCTTGGCTGGAAACCCGAGCCGGCTGGTTCTATAAGCAGCCGACCCGCGGGCCGGTCTGTCCCGATCCGGTCCCTGTCAGGGTAAATATAGCTGCTGCTCACGCATCGACCCGATCCGACCCAGTTTGGTTACTAATGTTCAGACTGGAGCAGAACCTCCAACTGGTTCTGGTTTGGTGGTTCTGAACGGATCAGAACCAGAAGACGACAGTTAGTCCGGTTCTGTTTGCTGGTATCAAAGCTGTGGTTCTGCTGGGATCAGAGGAGTTCTGATCCCAGGAATCTTGTTTCTTCATGTGTTAACCTTTGACCTGTGGTTCTGGTTCTGTTCCTGCAGGAGCTAACGGACCTGTCCAGAGACCCTCCGGCCCAATGCTCAGCCGGGCCCGTCGGCGAAGACAGTAAGGTTCCGTCCGGTTCTGTTCTGTCCAGGTCCAGCTGGTTCTGTCTGGATCCGGCCGGTTCTGTTGGGTTCTGTTCTGTTGCTGCTCATCTAATTCTGCTCTGCTGTTTTTAGTGTTCCACTGGCAGGCCACCATCATGGGTCCGGTAAGTACCAGAACCAGAACCCGGATCAGGACTCTGCTTGTTTTGTGACCCGGACTGACGCTGCGGTTCTGGTTTTGTTGCAGCCCGACAGTCCGTACCAGGGCGGCGTGTTCTTCCTCACAATCCACTTCCCGACCGATTATCCCTTCAAGCCGCCCAAGGTGAGAGCGGCACGTACGTCCCGGCCCGGGTCGGCGCCGGTTCTGACCCGATCCGTCTGCTCCTCTTCCAGGTCGCCTTCACCACCAGAATCTACCACCCAAACATCAACAGCAACGGCAGCATCTGCCTGGACATCCTGCGGTCCCAGTGGTCGCCGGCGCTCACCATCTCTAAAGGTGAGCGTCCGGACCGGAACCGGCACGACCGGAACACGGACGGGCCGGACCGGAACCGGCACGGAGCCGACCTGACTAGACCTGACCCGGTTACACTCTACCTGAAATCTGACAGAATTTCATCATCAGATGTTTTTGCTCCAGTGACGTGTCCAAGCTGTGGTTTGGGGCCGTTTGTGGCCCCCTGCAGGACCTTAGTCTGTTCCGAGGCTAAACATTTCACTGAAGCCTTTCAAAATAAAAGTAAATTAAAATCACAATACAGAAAGACATGCAAGTTTTTTTTCGGTTTGATGCAGTTTAACCCGTTTTTGTCCCAAAACAAAATTTTAATAGAAAAAAATGAATCAATTCAAATCGTTAGATGTTGTCTTCTAAGGTGTTAAATGTTCAGACCTATAATAACTAAAGGTCAGTTTTCTACTAAACTTGTTTCATAACGAAATGTGTTTAGTTTATTACAGAGGTGCTAAAAATGAAAATTGGACCATTTAGAAAACAATTGGCAGCATCAACAAAAACAAATCAAAATTAGAGAAACAACACGGTTAAACAAATTGGTTAAATTTTATGCGGAGTGGAGCATCATAGAGAAAGATGGGAAGAAAAACATCAGAAATGTGTAAATGATTCCCTGAATAAATCAAAATCAGGACCGTTGATGTTTTGTTGGTGAATGTTGACAGCAGGTGGTGCTGATAGCTGCAGCAGTCAGCGGTTACAATGGCAGTGGTTCTGTTCCAAATGTGGTCTCTGTTTTCTCTCTGCAGTTCTTTTGTCCATTTGTTCTCTGTTATGTGACCCGAATCCTGATGACCCGCTAGTGCCAGAGATTGCCCGCATCTACAAAACAGACCCCGTCAGGTGGGTTGGCGCGCGCGCGCACACACACACACACACACACACACACACACACGGCCAGCTGTTAAAACTGTTTCTCTGGTTCCTATCGACCTGGATTCAGTTCAGTTAGCCTGATGCTAACAGCTGATGAAACTTGGTTCCATTGTGACTCTGAAGCAGAACTTCTCGGTGAGGTCCAATTGGCACTAGAACCTCTTGAGCAAATTCCAATTTTTGAGGACTATTTGCACTTTTAAACTTCTAATTTATGCTCTTCAGATGGAATCTATTGACTCATTAGCATACACATTGGTAGCAAGCAAGGTGCTAGTAGTGCAGTGGATAGTAGCCCAATTGCTGTTAGCATGCATTTTGCTAGCAATCCATTCGGTAGTAGCCCGGTTGCAAGCAGCACGGTGACTCTGAAGCTCCACCAGATTCCTGAACTGATTTCTGTTTCTCAATCCTTTCAAGGCTGCTGTTCTCCAAGGTGCTGGTGGACTTTTTTCCTTCCACTCAACTTTCTATGAATATAGCAGAAGCAACATAACAAACTGAGAAACATCTGGTTGTCGCTTCCAGATGTGGTTTCGATCGTTTTTCTCTGAACTTTCTCTTCTTCTGCCCAGACCGTGACGTTGACCCCGTCTGTTTCGTCTCCTGCAGGTACAACAAGACAGCTCAGGACTGGACCCAGAAATACGCCATGTGACCCGCCGGACCGCCGCGCATGGCCACGCCCCTCCCCCCACCTTTCCCTCCAGTTTGTTCACGTTTCCATTCGTCTCATCCTGAACTGTGATGCTGTTCCCTCCCACCCCCGTCTGTCCGTCTGCAAGAGACATGAGCCGCAGCCTCAGAGTGGACCGGACTGGCCCGGCCTAGGAGAACCGGCCGGCAACGCCTCTTCATGCATGTCAGTGATTGGTTCCTGTGCTGCTCAGAACTCTGTGTCTATTTTTAAAAGAGAAAAGCTGTTTCAGTTCCTAGGTTTCTGTCTTTAGTGGAGAGCGTTAGTTCATCATCTGATCCGTTCTCCTGGTTTTACTTTTTGCACTTGAAGGCGATCCAGATCCGGTTCCGGTCCCGGCGGCTAACTGATCAACTAATCGCTCTGTGACGGTTTTTCTCAATAAAGATGAACAAATGAACACTGGTTCTGGTTTCATTTCATGTCCGGCAGACGGGGCTGATTGGTTCTGGTCGGGTAAATAAAACCAAATCAGCCTCAAAATATAAAAAAACCTTTATTTTAAAAAATTAACAACCAGTTATTGATGATGAACTGTACAGCGCAGGCGGGCATAAATATGTGGAAACAGGATTGCGAACACCTGGACTACATTTCCCACAATCCCCTGTGGTTTTCTTTGTCCAGGAAGAAACCGGAAGTTCAGTTCATGAAAAAGAACTGAATCATTTCAGAAATGAATCCTAAACCCCGGGGCCCCTGCCCGCGGACCCTGGCCCCCGGGGCCCCTGAGGCCCCGGCCCCCGACCCACAGAGGAACGTTCAAGCTGTGGAGAAGCTCAACAGAACATTCTGGAGTCAGAAAACATGAAACCGCTCTGCAGGTCCAGAACAGCTGGTTCTGGTTCTGATGATGAAGATGTTTTACCTCAAGCCACAAAAGTTACAACTTAAAAAAAAATCTAATATAAACTTATTATTTTGAAAGGACTGGTGTTTTATTTCTATTTTCAGGATTTAAAATAAAGAAAATTGAGAAAAAAAACATTTTTTTCTGTAGGAAGGAAAATGATGTAAAAACAAAAAGATCTGAAACTTTCCTGATACTTTTAGTGGAAATTGACACTAAAAACCAGCGCAAGTTGTTGTAAGTGAATTAATTGGCTGGTTTTACTGTTAATCCAGCTTTCAGACTGATGGGTCAGATTAACAACAACTGAGATTGAATCTGGAGCTTTCAGATGGAACCCGGCAGAATAATCCCCTCCGGTTCTGGCTCTGTTGGCCTGGTTCTGGGTTTGAATCTGGACCAGCAGAACTGGGTCCAGAATGTTCTAATGAGCATCCAGATGCTGTGACTCTCCCTGCTGATCATGTGGTTCTGACCCAAATGGAGGCGGTTTTAATCCGATTGTAGCAAGGAGGTTCCGACCCGTTTTGGACCTGGTCAGGGTTTGTAGCACCATTGGTTCTGGGAAGGACAGGAAGCAGCTTTTCTGTCCTGTCAGTAGAGATCAAAGTTCAGCGGTCCGGTTCGACCAGGTCCGGTTCCGGTCCAACTCGGGCCTGACCTTTACAATACGTAGAATCTTTGAGTGATGAAGAGGAGGATGAGGATGTTGGCCAATCAGAGCGCTACGCCGTGGAGAGCTCCACCCCACTGTCGCAGACGCCACTGTCGTTCCCAAGGTCCGCCTTCAGGTTCTGGACCAGAGGGTTCTGGACCTCCTCTGCCGTGTCCGGGTTCTGGCGCAGCGCCCCCTCCAGGATGCTCAGCGCTTTGCAGCCGCCTGCCGACCGGAGAGCCGCCAGCAGGTCCGAAACAGTCCCACCAGAAACCTGCAGAACCAAACATCAGAACCATCATCAGAGGAAGTTGATGATTCTTCTTCCTGTATCAGTTGAAGAAAATGCGGCCAGCAGGGGGCGTGCTGCCCGGATCGGCCACCAGGGGCGACGCTCATAGTTACACAGAATTAATCATTTAAACTGACACTGGAGGAAAACATGGAGGTTTGATTTTTCAGTCATATTTTCACCAGGTCATTTATTTAAAAATGTTATAATTTCATTCTAAATTTTAAGCTTTTTTACAAAATATCATGTAACATTTATTTTTACATATTTATTAAACCCTGTAAAAGTGAAACTATAACTAAATATCTCAGATCACATCATCAATGTGTAACTTTACGAACGGCGCCCCCTAGGGCAGCAGTTGTTGTCAACGGGACAGAGACGTTCCTGGGTCCGATGGGCCAGGCGGCGGCTTAATAACACAGAGAGACGTGGTTCTTGCTGCTGGGCATGACGGACGGGGTGGAGATTTATTACACTCTCCCACGGATTCATCTTACAAAAACCAA